GTAAGTTATGATGGTCAAAAAATTGTTCCCATCCATCGGCAAAATATATTCTTCCATTATCTCTTTCCAATTGTATTGTGACAATTATACCATCATATGCAGTTATTTGTATTGTGTCATCAAGTTGGTGTCTCCAATCGTTGACAAAGGATCCGGGAAGCATCTATACATATACATTAAAAAGTATAAGAGAGATATTAAGAATGCATCCATTCAAATGTGAGAGGAGAAACTGTTGTGTGACTAACCAGACGGCTATTATGGTTTTGTAGAGGAGTAATGATTCTGAAGAAACGATATGGCACCTCCATTCTGTCTCGATATAGTATAATGAAAATTTTGTTAGAATAACTCTATTATTTATGTTGTGGAGGCCCTAATATAGATTTTAAGGTAGATTTTGCAGTATAGGCGAGTTTGAAAGTTAGTTAATGGAAGTTCCATGTCTGTAACATAAACTTTGTATGTGATTTAAAAAAGAAAATATTCTATATGTCATTGTAGAAGAATATCATGAAATTTGGTAATAAATTCATGATTTGTGCTCGATTTTTAATAGAAGAATTGAAGATTGACATTTAGTCCATCTCAATAAACAAGATGTAAGTTAAAACTGTAAAATTTAGTATTGAAAAAATAGCTATGGTAATCAAGAAAGAGTAGATAGACACCGAATTTTCTTTTTGTTGAGCACCTACAAGCAAAGATATGTAAATATTTTATGTGAGGAGTGATTTAAGATAAATTTTGAAAACATGAGAAGTTATTTAAATTAGAGGATATGTACTTCCTCTATTTTTTCCTTTTCTCCAAATTTGACAAGAGGTTCACAGGTTGTAGAAATGGACAATATGTTACCGAAAAAGTCTGATCTTACTTTTCTCAAAAATAAAAGTGAAGAGAAAAAAATTATTGAAATATCACGAGAGTGACTATTTGATCTTAACACGTTTCACACATTATTTGATTGCACTCAAACGGTTACGATTGGAAATGTGATTAATATGTAATATGTCTATTATTTATCTACATTTCTACTCATTTTAATCAATAGTTGGACTTTCTTAACGCTATTTTTAAAATTTTACAATTTCTATTTATGTGATGATAAAAATTTATAATATATAATATAGAAATAGAAAAATAAATAAGTATATTTAGTTCTTTTTTTTTTATTCTTCCAACTATAGTACTTAAGTGAGTATAATTTATTCATTTCCCTGCCTATGTCATTTTCATTTTACCTTTTGAACGAAAACGTCATTGTTTTCCTTTCGTTCGTGCAAGCACCTTGTCTCTTTGTCCTTATTTTAATCATTGTCCTTATTTTCATCGTATCTTTCCCATCCTTTTGTTTTCTCTCTGTTTTCAATTGCGTGTATTTTTTGTTCAGCGATATTTTGTTCAACGATAGACTTGTTGTTGTTGGTGGGTTTCTTTTTTTTTTTTCAATATATTTCCTATTGTTCGGGTCATGGAAGTATATACATTTTTTTAGCTTCTTTTATATAATGATATTGTTTTTAATGTGCATACTCTTAGTTATATTTCTAATTTTATTAAGTTGATTTTTGTGGGTTCTTTCTTTCAGCAATACAATGAGTAAGCAATATTGGACGCCTATATATGCACAACTTCAAGTTCTTGAATCTATATTTAATCAAGAGAATAAAACCCCAAACAAGTCAAGGATCATGCAGATAGTCTCCGAACTATCGTTGCATGGGAAAATCTCTTATATGAATGTTTATAATTGGTTTAAGAGTAGACGTCCTCGTTTAAGAAGGTTGGACTTATCCACACAAGCACACGATTCTGAACTTGAAATTCAGCCAAGGGTACAAAAAGACAAATTGCGTAAGAGACATATATGTATGATTTGTTGTTTAAATGTGATTTCTTGTTGGTTTAATATTTTTTACGTAATTTTAACATAAATATTTGATATTATAGAAGTATCTACAAGTTCTAGGAAGAAGGATGAGATGTTGTCCTAAATTCACAGCAGGTTTTGTAGATTGAATATATTTTTTTTATAATTTTTTTTTGCATCCGGCTATTTATTTGGTCATATTGTAGTACACTTCCTTTCATCTTGTTTTTGTGAGATTATTTTTTAATCCAATTTTTGCAATTCTATTGTCTTTCAGCGATCTTATACTAAATTTATGATTGTAGATTCTATTGATCAGTATGTCGAATTACAGAAGGATCTTCATGTTGATGAAAACATTGGCGTGGAAAAGCAATTTGAAGATGACAATATGCAATCTCAATGTGGTTCACATGTTCCTATCATTTTAGATCGTTCTAAGAGAACTGATATACGAAATATTCCAGTTGAACCTTATATTCTTCTGTCTTATACAATTTATAAATATTGTGGTGCAAAAAAGTTTTACAAAGAAAGTAAGGATTTTTGTTGTTGTGATGGAAAAGTTAAATTACAGCTAAACAGTGTTCCCCCTGAATTGTATGAGCTATTTACTTCTACTTTATGTGAAGCGATTGTTTTTAAAAAAGTTGCTCGTACTTACAACAATCATTTTGCATTCACTTCATTTGGTGTTAAATATGATAAAAATTTGTGCAAAAATAATAGAGGTGTATATACGTTCAAAGTTCAGGGACAAGTATATCATTTTATAAATCCACTTCTACCAATTGATGGAAATCCTACATATTTGCAGTTATGGTTTTACGATACTTATAAGAAATTAGTAATGGATTGATAGGTTAAGTGAATCAACTTTGAAAAAGTTAATAGATATCTTAAAGATAAATCCATATTGTCGTTTCTTTCGATCATTAAGTGAAGTTTCTGATTTTGATTTATGCTGTATCGTACTGAGGTCTGATCCGGGTCTCGACCAGAGATTATATAACATGCCATCATTGAACAGGTGGCTGCAGTGTGGGTTGATGAGGATCCATCTGTAAGCATAAAGACTCGTGATATATTAATTTATAGACATTCCAATACTGCACATAGAGTAAATTACTATTATCGCTGCTATGATCCACTTCAGTATCCATTAATATTTACCTATGGAGAACCTGGATGGCATGAAAGTATCGAAAAGGTAAATTTGAATACTTCAATAGTCCATGAAGATTTCATACAAATCAGTCACATTGATTCGGTTGAACAACTTATAGAGATGGAAGATCGTGGTAAGTTTTATTACCATTGAAGTTTTTTAATCTTTTTGGAGCGCATAAATGTATTGTCATTTCTAGATCTATCTTTGTGACTTTAACTTTATTTTCCTTTCAGCTATGAAGAGAGGTAAGAAACGAATTACTGTGTCATGCCGTGAATATTATTGCTACAAACTTCAAATCAGACTTTCAGATAAGTCTGTACTCCTTCATACAGGTAGACTTCTACAACAATATATAGTGGATATGTATGTTAAGATTGAAACTGCGAAATTAGATTATTTTCGTAATAATCAAAAGACTATACGAGGTGAACTTTACCAAGGAATTTTAGATAGTATACAAAATGGTGAGACTAGAGGCTATAAAATTGGCAAATCAATTGTGTTGTCTACAGGGTTTATTGGGGGTCCTAGAAATTTAACTAAAAGATATATGGATGCAATGTGTTTAGTTCAAAGATATGGAAAACCTGATGTATTTTTAACAATGACATGCAATCCAAATTGACCTGAAATTAAACAAGAATTGAGGCACAATGATAGTATACAAAATATGCCAGATTTGTTAGCCTGAATATTTCGAGCAAAACTTAAAGAACTAAAAACAAATTTAATAAAGAGAGAAATTCTAGGGCCTATAACTACCTATGTGTATGTAATTGAATTTTAAAAAATAGGTCTATCTCATGTTCATTTTCTCTTGATATTTAAAATGAATTTTAAGATTACTAATTCTACGCAAGTTGACGACATTGTTTCTTGTGAAATACCAGATCCAAAGAGAAATCCTCACCTGCATGCTACTGTGGTCAAACATATAATACATGGTCCTTGTGGACAATTAAATCCTACAAATGTGTGCATGGAAAATAACCATACTTGTAAAAACAAGTATCCAAGAAAATATATTTTGCATACTTCATTAGGTACTGATTCATATCCACTTTATAGGCATCGTGACGATAGTGTTATTGTTAAGGTCAGAGGGTCTGTACTAGACAATAGATGGTTTGTACCATATAATCCTTATATTTTAGCTAAGTATGATTGTCACATTAATGTTGAAATATGTTCTTCTGTTAAAGCAGTCAAATAATTATACAAATATATATATACAAAGGACATGATCGTGTTAATTTCACGGTGAATAAAGAAACTAATGAGCATTACGTTGATGAGATTTCAAATTTTCAAACTGCTAGATGGATATTTGCACCAGAAGCTATATGGAGAATTTTTAGTTTTGATTTATTCGACATATCTCCTTCTGTAGTTTCTTTGCAGTTACACATTGAAAATGCTCAGTTGGTTACATATAATGAAACAGATGATTTATCAGAAATTATAAATAAAGACTCCATTCAACAAATAATGTTAACTGAATTTTTTAGAATGAATATTTTAAATGAAAAGGCACGAACTTTACTTTGCAAGGATTTTCCTACATACTTTGTATGGAATACATATTTTCAAGTTTGGAGTCCTAGAAAGAAGCAAAATGTTATTAGTAGAATAGTTGCTGCTAATCCATCTGAGGGCAAGAGATACTTTCTAAGAGTTTTATTGAATCATGTTAAAGGGCCTAAGTTTTTTTAAAATTTAAGAACAGTTAATAACATTGTTGTGCCTACTTATCGCGAAGCTGCATTTTTACATGGTCTAATAGGTGGGAATAATTATTGTGATATGTGTTTAAATGAGGCGATCACCTATGAAATGCCTATATCATTGCGTCGCCTCTTTGCTAATGTGTTAATTTTTTGTAGCCCTGCAAATCCTAGGAACTTATGGGTTAAATTTAAAGTGTACATAATAGAGGATTTTTTACATGCAAGCATGACAGTATGTGATGCTGAGATTAGGGCTTTGAGATGCATAAATTCATTCTTAGAAGTTTTTGGTACAAACATAAATGATTTTGGTCTGGTAGATTTTGACGTAATTGTGAATGATGCTGATGTGTTAGCAAGCATGATTTTAGAAGAGACTACAAATATTAATATTCAGTGTGACATGCATTTTATAGATAATTTAAATAAGGAACAACAATCTGCCTATAATGTTATTTTAGACTGTGTTGTAAGTAATAAAAATGGAGTTTTTTTTATTGATGGTCCAGGAGGTACTGGAAAAGCCTTTCTGTACAAGGTATTACTTGCTACAGTACGATCTCGACAACTTATTGCATTAGCAACAGCATCATCGGGAGTGGCTGCTTCTTTATTGCTTACTGGGCGAACTGGTCATTCACGTTTTAAAATCCCACTTCAAGCAAGTTCTGATATGCGATGTTCAGTAAGTAAACAATCATCACTTGGTCAACTTTTACAAATGACAAAACTAATTGTGTGGGATGAAGCACTGATGATTAATAGATATGCTTTTGAAGTTTTGGATAAAATGTTAAAAGATATTACTGAATGTGATTTGCCATTTGGTGGAAAGGTTGTTGTGTTCGAAGGAGATTTTCGACAAGTGTTGCCAGTAGTACAAAGAGGAACAAAAGATGATATCATGAAGGCCAGTTTAGTTTTTTCAGATTTATGGCAATATTTTATACAACTACCATTGACTGAGAATATGAAAGCTAAATTAAATCCTTTGTTCTGTAAATATTTACTTAGAATTGGAAATGGAATAGAAAGAGAACATACATGTCACATGATTAAGCTTCCTTCAGATATAATAATGGATTTTGAGAGTGAATTTGAATTATTGAAAAAACTAATTGCCATTGTGTTTCCTAATTTTCACGCATATGGTGACAATTTGAATATTATGATGAACATAGTTATTTTGACTCCAAAAAAAATGAACATGTGGATGTAATAAATAATATGTTAGTTAAAGAAATTTCAGGAGAGATATTTACATATTTTAGTTTCGATGAAGTAATTGATAAAATAGAAGGATTTATTCATGAGGACTTTTTGAATAGTCTAACTCCAAATGGTATCCCTCCACATGAACTTGTACTAAAAAAAAAACTGTCCTGTTATGTTGCTTAGAAACATTAATTCTTCAGAAGGTTCGTGAAATGGGACTAGATTTATCTATCGAGAATTTAAATGAAATGTTATTTTAGCGGAAATTGGAATAGGTGAATATCTTGGAAAATAAGTATTTTTACCTAGAATTCCATTTATTCCACTTGAAGGAGATAAGAACTCAGACCATTAACAAAGCTCAAGGTCTAACTTTAGATTTCGTTGAACTATATTTGTCTAAACCTGTTTTCTCGCATGGTCAATTATATGTCGCTTTATCTAGAGCAAGAACAAGAGAAAACATAAAAGTTCTAATAAAGCCAATGAATGAAATAAAATCACACAATTGTTGCACAAAAAAATGTAGTCCACCTTGAAATTTTGAATTTGATACATACTAATTAAGAAGTCTATAATTACAAGTTTTGTTTAATTGGACTGCCAATCTATTGTTAACCTAAAAGAGGATATTTTCTTTGCTAATCCATCTTGTGTCAAGGAGAATAACATTGAGCTATACAATGTTAGTTATTTTTACATGTTATTATGCGTTTCAATTATACTTTACTTGTTAGTACGAAACATGGTGCATAAAAAAGGGTCAGGTATCTTTAAACATGTCCTTCATAATATTTCATGTTCAACATATCTTTATTTATTTGGGTCAGTGATAAGATATGAAAAGAAAGGATAAAAAACACAAGTTTATTACATAATATTTCAATCAGTTTATTCTGATTATCTACTACAATTATGACTTACGGGGATGAAGAAAGTATTCGTTAGTACAGATATCTACCGCAATCTTTCATCTATATATGCTCATCCTATCCGACGAAACTGATTCAATTCGATATCCCAAAATAAAGCACTCTATATATTTGAGCACGAAAATTCCACAATTAGGCCGGTGGAAGAAATAGTTTAGTGTTAGAATAAATGACTAAGTTTAGGAAATTAAATATTCTGCTAAAAAACAAGCCACTTAAATGCTTACCCATTGTTTGCACAGTTTAGGTAAGGTATAATCTCCTACTCCATTTGTTTATTCATATGTTTCCTTATATCTCTTCTAGAAGATAAAGTTGTTTTCAATAGAGCTTCCACCACATTCAATGAAGCTTTTGCATGTGCTTTTCCTTGATCCGGTGTGTGGACGTTATTACTGCAATCATATACTTGGAATTTTCATTTAGGAATATTGACAATGAAAAGGTACTAGCTATTGCCCGGATATGAGCACGGAATTAATTTATACTTGCATCTCATCCAAGGACGACCAAATATAGGTGCTTTGCCATTCATATAACTTTGCAAAAAAAGTTCCATCAAGTTCACCTCTGGTGGTTCCCATTCCTGTGTCAGTATGCCACATCATGTGACGAGCACATTCTGCTTCAAATTTGAAATCCATAATTGCATATTCTTTTGATACAAGTGGACAACCATCATTCATGAGCCATCTCAATAATTTTAACTCTAGCTCAATGTTCTGATGAAATAAATAGATATAAATTAGATTATATATATCGTCTATGAAATAAAATCTATTGTAATTCATAGACTTTACTTACAGCAATATTTATGTCCTGTGTTTGATCCATTAGAGTTTTCAACATGTCTCTTCCAAAGACATTGTTACTGTCATCGTCCAAGTATGCACTGTATGACATAATTTTAATTAATTCCAAATAAATCAAAAGAGAACTTGAAGATTTGAGCTAATACAAGTAAAATTAGATTTATTACCTAGATTGATTCTCCGCTATAAAATTTCTAATTTTTATGTATCTTTGCATATAATAGTCTTCCAGAGGACGATCTGAAGATGATGAAGACTGTATTTGTTTTCCCTTATTTTTCTTCTCTTTTATCAATCGTTTAGAGCTCTTAATTTGTTTAGCTGTTGATAGCTCATTTGGTTTATCGCAAGGAACAACACTTGTATCGAGAGGGACATCTTATTGCATGGAACCTATGATGGCTTCTATGTTTGATTTCCATTCAAATAATGTGTTCAATGTTTCCTGATTTTGTTCATCAACATAGGATCTCATTGAACTTAAATTGGTATCAATATAAGATTGCATACCCTGATATCTATCTTCCTGCCACTTCTGTTGCTGTTCAAAAAATTGCCTTTGATTGTCAAAAATTATCTGATAATGATGTTGTATGTAATCTTCTTGCCATTTTTTTGGCTCCTCAAATAACTGTTTTTGATTTTCAAGAGCCGCATGGTGGTGAGCTCTTGATTCATCAGCAAATTCTGCCTTCAAGTTGCTATATACACCAGACACGTCTGATGCTATGTGTTGCCTGTAGATACCCAACAATTCTTCCGTTTTATCTTCACTTAAGGAGTTGGAGCCACTGGAACAGAGCTAGACCTAAATATAGGTGAAGATGTTGAAGTACCGGGAATCGTCGTTTCTTGCACATATATATTGTCTGGGATTTTCTCTACTACATTATCCAATATTTCATTTACAATCTCATCTAATTTGCTTTGTCCATTATCCACTGGCAATGAAAGAGTTTCGTACCAAAGACTTTGTAATTCTTCTTCATTAGGCTGTAGCATAGCAATCACTTGAATCTGTAATCAAATTGAAATATCAAAATCGTTTATTTTGAGTTTAATTTTATTTTAAGATAATTGAATGTGAGAGTAATTATACATTCATAAAAACTTATATTACGAGTAGATAAAAAAAGCTTTATCTCTTTTTCAGTTACAAATTGGTTGGGTTTCCACTCGTATATTCTTGGACACTGTGGTTTTTTATGTCTATGAAGTCCAAATTTCTTTCCGATTTTTGGAAATGCTTCATATATCCAATACTGTAAGATAATTAAAAATAAATATTATATGTACAAAATTTTTTTATGGAAATATATTGTACATAATAAGTCAATACAAGAATAGGGACTAATTACCTGGAATGCAAGTGGATACCCATGTAACGCATACTTGCATTCTGTTTGTTCATTCCGTTGCATCCTTTGTATTCTTTCAGATTGTGATACTTTAAATGAATATAACAAGATCAAATATGCTTTGCGACCCCATGGATATGTAAGGAACTCATCCAAATGCTCAACCATACCAAAAGTTCTATAATCAATTTGTCTTGAAGTGGGTGTCAACACACATTCGACCAACATGACTAAACCAAGCTTCAATTTATCTTCTTCATGTTCGCACGCATGGAATGCTTCATAAAACATCTTCATACTGATTCAACATGTGCCATTAAAGTATTGATTTCTAAGACGATCATTTGTATCATTAATGTCCATGGATAGTTCATAGCAAGGTGCAAAGATATGTAAATATTTTATGTGAGGAGTGATTTAAGATAAATTTTGAAAACATGAGAAGTTATTTAAATTAGAGGATATGTACTTCCTCTATTTTTTCCTTTTCTCCAAATTTGACAAGAGGTTCACGGGTTGTAGAAATGGATAATATGTTACCGAAAGGCCTGATCTTACTCTTCCCAAAAATAAAAGTGAGGAGAAAAAAATTATTGAAATATCACGTGAGTGACTATTTTATCTTAACACGTTTAACACATTATTTGATTGCAATCAAAATGTTACGATTGGAAATATAATTAATATGTAATATGTTTATTATTTATCTACATTTCTACTCATTTGAAGGATTTATAAAATATTTGTATATATAAAAAAATGATTTATATTTTATGTATTTATTTTAGGAATCACATTTATTAAAAAACTAAGTTGATTAAATGAAATTAAATTTTTATTCTGAGAGTCGGTAAAGGAAAAAGAAAGGGGTAAAAATGAAATTTATTAATTACAAAGGTAGTTTGATGACTCCGTTATTATACTACGGAGGCATTTTGTGCCTCTGTAGTGATACGGAGGCTCAACTTTGAGCCTCCGTAATTACGGAGGCACTTTGATCCTTTGAGCCTCTGTAATTATGGAGGCATTATTTTTCCCCCCATCTTTTTCTTTTAGCTGTTATTACAACAAATACTTCAATATTATTTTTTTGTTTTGTCGAACATAATTTTATTATTTTATATGGAGTTATATTTTAGTTTAAACTTGAGTTTCTTATTTTGTATGGAATTTAACTAATAGTCGGACTTTCTTAACGTTATTTTTAAAATTTTTGCAATTTCTATTTATGTGATGATAAAAATTTATAATATATAATATAGAAATAGAAAAATAAATAAGTATATTTAGTTCTTTTTTTTTATTCTTCCAACTATAGTACTTAAGTGAGTATAATTTATTCATTTCCCTGCCTATGTCATTTTCATTTTACCTTTTGAACGAAAACGTTTTAGTTTAAACATGAGTTTCTTATTTTGTATGAAATTTAACCAATAGTTGGACTTTCTTAACGCTATTTTTAAAATTTTACAATTTCTATTTATGTGATGATAAAAATTTATAATATATAATATAGAAATAGAAAAATAAATAAGTATATTTAGTTCTTTTTTTTTTATTCTTCCAACTATAGTACTTAAGTGAGTATAATTTATTCATTTCCCTGCCTATGTCATTTTCATTTTACCTTTTGAACGAAAACGTCATTGTTTTCCTTTCGTTCGTGCAAGCACCTTGTCTCTTTGTCCTTATTTTAATCATTGTCCTTATTTTCATCGTATCTTTCCCATCCCTCCCATCCTTCCGTTTTCTCCATGTCTTCAATTGCGTGTATATTTTGTTCAGCGATAGACCTGTTGTTGTTGGTGGGGGGGTTTTTTTTTTTTCAATATATTTCCTATTGTTCGGGTCATGGAAGTGTATACATTTTTTTAGCTTCTTTTGTATAATGATATTGTTTTTAATGTGCATACTCTTAGTTATATTTCTAATTTTATTAAGTTGATTTTTGTGGGTTCTTTCTTTCAGCAATACAATGAGTAAGCAATATTGGACGCCTATATATGCACAACTTGAAGTTCTTGAATCTATATTTAATCAAGAGAATAAAACCCCAAACAAGTCAAGGATCATGCAGATAGTCTCCGAACTATTGTTGCATGGGAAAATCTCTGATATGAATGTTTATAATTGGTTTAAGAGTAGACGTCCTCGTTTAAGAAGGTTGGACTTATCCACACAAGCACACGATTCTGAACTCGAAATTCAGCCAAGGGTACAAAAAGACAAATTGCGTAAGAGACATATATGTATGATTTGTTGTTTAAATGTGATTTCTTGTTGGTTTAATATTTTTTACGTAATTTTAACATAAATATTTGATATTATAGAAGTATCTACAAGTTCTAGGAAGAAGGATGAGATGTTGTCCTAAATTCACAACAGGTTTTGTAGATTGAATATATTTTTTTTATAATTTTTTTTTGCATCCGGCTATTTATTTGGTCATGTTGTAGTACACTTCCTTTCATCTTGTTTTTGTGAGATTATTTTTTAATCCAATTTTTGCAATTCTATTGTCTTTCAGCGATCTTATACTAAATTTATGATTGTAGATTCTATTGATCAGTATGTCGAATTACAGAAGGATCTTCATGTTGATGAAAACATTGGCGTGGAAAAGCAATTTGAAGATGACAATATGCAATCTCAATGTGGTTCACATGTTCCTATCATTTTAGATCGTTCTAAGAGAACTGATATACGAAATATTCCAGTTGAACCTTATATTCTTCTGTCTTATACAATTTATTAACATTGTGGTGCAAAAAAGTTTTACAAAGAAAGTAAGGATTTTTGTTGTTGTGATGGAAAAGTTAAATTACAGCTAAACAGTGTTCCCCCTAAATTGTATGAGCTATTTACTTCTACTTTATGTGAAGCGATTGTTTTTAAAAAAGTTGC